CAAAGGGGTAGTGTCGAGGTACTGCGTCAACTGAACTGACCACCGATTCATCTAATGGCCCTGCGGAGGTCGCGTGAGGTAACCGACTCAAAACATCCGCCGTGCAATTGTTAGAGTCTAGGATGTAAGATATTTTGTATACATGCGCACTGAGGATTAAGTCCCCTCGTTGCATCCCAGGTGAAAACATTTGATGGATCCCCTTGGATTCACCCAATAAGGATATCAACGGTTTGTGATCAGTGTAGAACTCCAAATGACTGCTCCAAAGATACTGGTGAAATTTCTTGGCACCAATGATAACCGATGGGGCCTCTCGATCAAGTTTTGAGTACTTACTCAGCTGGTTGTAAGGCATGCGAATTGAAAGCAATCGGATGAATTGCACCATACGGCATTATATGATACAAAACTGCTCCAACTCCGTGTGGAGAAGCATCACACTGAATGATTAGAGGCATTTTTCCATTGCAGTGAACTAAAACTAGTGCTGATGTTAAGCAGTTTTTAGCACGAATGAAAGCAGACTGATACCCATCATTCCACACCCACGGGGTGTTTTTATGTGTCAGTGCTTTCAAAGGAGCTAAAATAGTTGATGCCCCCGGTAAAAAAGGACGATAGTGTGAAAAGATTCCTAAGAATGATCGGAGTTCATTAATATTCTTAGGCTGCGGTGCCTGTATAATTGGGGATCCTTTATCCTGAAAAACACGCAGACCTCTTTTATCAAGTTTGTAGCCAAAATAACAAACAGGTTGAGACAAAACTCACTTTTAGATTTCTTCAGTTTCAATCTACTGGATTCCAAACGTTCCAACACCGTCCGAAGTGTCTTTAAATGTCCAGCATCACTTCGGTCAGAAACCAGGATATCATCTAAGTAAGCACAGATAAAGGGTATATCCTTCACGATGTCATCCACAATCCGCTGGAAGATGCTGGGGGCGGAGCTTATTCCGAAAGGAAGACGGGTATACTGAAATAGTCCAAGATGTATAGTTATGTTGGCTACTTCGCTTAAGTTCTCATCAAGTTCAACTTCAGAATATGCGTGACTAAGTTCAAACTTAGAAAATATTTGACCACCAGATAACGTAGCGTAGAAATCTTCGATGCGGGGCAAAGGATACCTTTCCACCTTGGTAGTTTGATTGGCAGTTAACTTATAGTCTCCACAGATACGAACGGTATCGTCGGTTTTGAGTACCTAAGCAATTGGGATACCCAATTCCGAGTGTTCTACGGACATGATTACGCCTTCGGATTGTAGTCGTTGTAGTTCTACTTCAACTTTGGGGCGGTAATGTCCGTGCTTTGCAAAACTTGGCATTGATGTTCTCCCGTAAGTTGATGGAAGCATTGAAATGTGTCGGCTTTCCAAACTTATTTTCGAATAAAGAAGCGAATTGGTTCAACAGATCAGTTGAACTGCTATCACTGATCACGACCTCATTAACCTGCATCGTTTTTGTGATGTATCGGGTCCAATTTCTGCCCAAGAGATTGTCTTTTCCCAGGTACCATGATCAAAGGTAGAGTTAATTCCCTCTCGCCGTCCCTGACTTTAACCATGCACTTTCCCAAGACCCTAATCGGATCACCCGTGTAGGTTTGGACTGTGGATTCACATGGCTGTAAGGGGGGCAGACTCTTAAGTGAATCCCTGTTTGTAATGGTAACTGCAGCCTGTGTATCCAGTTCCAAATCGATCGGTTCATTCTCGATTATCAAACGCATCGTAAATGAAGGGCACTTGTTGGATCATACGGTATTCAAGTAGACGGCATTTAGAACGTTGTCTGGGTCTTCCAGAACGTTTTCTCCGTAAGCGGAAGCTTATTATGGCGCCTCCATTGAGTGTGATTAATCAGTGAAGCGGGTTCCTATCTGCATACGTGGGCTAGGTGGCCTATTTTACCACGTTTTCGGCAGATGCTGTCTTTGTGGCGACACTCAGATACACGAGCATGTTGCATCCTGCAACAATAACACACGAACTGTTCTCGAGACTCACCTGGAGTCCGTGGTTTAGCAACTGTGTGAACAGCATCGACGACTGGACGGGCAATGAATTCACGTAGCTGGTGCGACATATGCTCCATTTGGCGAACGATTACAAAAGCATTCTCCCAAGTGGTATCTGCCTCGCTCAAAGATAACAATTTTGCACTCGCACTTTCGCCCATAATCCCCGCAATTAAGCACTGTGTTTTCATTTCTTCTTCAAATTTGCCGGGCGGAACTTCGTTGTATTTACACCCGGGAATAAACTGATGGATGCACATTGAAGTCGTTGACGTTCTCGCTCGGTTTCTGTAGAAGCTTTGAAAAAGCAGTATCTCGCAGTATAAACATTCTGTTACAATCCCCACAGTGTGGTGTATTTATGCATGACCGATGTAGTAGTGTCACAATTTTCTAGTGCATCAAAATGTCGCTGGCCCTCGTCTCCCAGTACTTGTGTGAATAGTCTTATTTTGTGGGACTCCGAAAGTCAAAGCATTGGATTCAAAACAGGCAGTACTTCCAAGTAGTTACTAAATGATTTCTTCCACCTCATCCACTTTGATAAGGTCGGTTTGTCCTCAGCAGAAGACCAAAAGTCAGCAGGTGAATTAATGGTAGAGTTCATCTGGATCCCATCGCCAGTAATATATAGTAACGAAATCAAGCAAAGCAGGCTCCAGGCCGCGGTTAGGCAAGAACATGACACAATACGAAACAAATTGTATCGGGTGAAGCCGTACAATATGACTCGCATGACACACGAGTTAAAGCGTGAGTGAGGAACTACTGATTGGTCAATACGAGGAAAACCAATAAGAACGCGGTGTGGCTCAACTAACTAATCAATATCATTGACCGATGTAGCAACCGTCAAGTGGGTTCTGAAAGTAGAAGTTCAGCTAGCTACTTTACTTTCACTTCATCTCAATACCACTACCTTCCTTACCCATCCATGTCAATCATAAGCTTCCAGGTGCAACAGAAAATTAGCCGGAAAGTCACCGAACACACATCACCTTTGGACCACACAATAAGACAAAATACCTGCTGGTCTACCATGCCAAAATGACTCTAAGGACATGGTATGCTTACATCCTCACATTGCTCTGTCAATCTAGCTAAAAACTTGTAAGCCCGTTATAATACAATTAGATGCTTTAATCCAAGTTTTTTTCCGATCTCCCCTAGTTCTAGTCCCCTTGGTCTTATCATGGTGTCTACAGCGAGCATACGTAGTCTAGACTAAGAGAAGCAATAGGAAATCTCTAGGTTAGTGAGCCTATACTATACGCATTGTCTGGGCAGAGAAAACAAAATCTAAATTCTTGTTACCGTGATTCTATACTTCAAGTTAGAGGCAGTAAGCGACTTACGAATAAGTTTGTAATCGTAATGAAGATGTGCAGCGGCATACGGAAATGACAGCGCAGCAGTTTGCTAATCGACAGCCTGTCAGAGATAAAGTATTTGACCTAGAAGGCTCAAGGGTATGCCAAAAGTGCAAGTTGAAACGCAGTGTTTCATCATGTAGGTGTCTGAAGCAAATCTGCGTAAATTTCTGTAAGGAAAAAAGTAAAGCGCCTGAAAATAGGGATATTCATGTCCTCAAATAGCTAAATTAATTCGGTTGAATAAGCAAGGTTCTCTTTGGACTTTTCAGAGCCTTTGTTGATCTCTACTAGTTACACTTTGCTTGTACTTTTTCTATTTTTTGCCTGTAAGAATTGCACGACTATAGTTTTCCTCTGTAATCTTTACTGAAGGTTTAAATTGCTTACTTCCACTTTCACGAGCCCACTCTCATTTAGGTCTCTAATTTGTATCATCATGAAACAACTGAGACCGACTGTGAGTGGGTGGAAAAGGATAGTGGAAGCCCCATAGGAAAACCATTGTCAAAACGATCCAACCATATCACTGCGTAAAACATAGCAACCGAGTCCTACCCGCAGCAGCGTTGCTAGTACATGATTCGTCCACTGTGGATATGTTTTTTCGATATCACGAGGTGATTTTTATTCCATTCTATCCATGTCCAGGCTTACCATTCACGTGCACTTTTATACTAGGACTAACAATCTTATTTATCACGCACGCATAAACGTCCCTTCATTGAATCCCAGTTACTATTCCTACGAAAAGGCTCAGACGCATCTTATGATGATCATAAATAAGTAGTTCCTCAAACAACAGCACACTCTTATCTTCTGGGGTAATCGGGGTGTTCTTTATGCCATCTTCCGTTCCAAAGGGTTTCATATGGCTGTACATGAGAGTAAGTCGGCCGGGTATACATTCGGGTTCCTCGAGCTGTGTAATCCCTGGCTTATGGTGGGATCATGTGAGCACAGGGCCCCGACCACTACAATTTCTCTAATTACAGCTGCTTTTCTCCTTGCCCATTCGCTTGGGTCGGTAATTTTCTCTGACGTCTTATGATAACTCTTCGGGTGTGCAACCTGGACTGCGACGTAAGTTGGATGACATGCTTTTGTTGAATTGCTGCATGATTATACTATCATGAAGCACGCTCTGAGATGGATCTGTGGGTCAAACCCGTATTTTGTAAATTTGGTCACATGTCTGATAAACATCATAGCGACACTTAGAAGCAGTAAATCAGCTCCGGTGCTCACTGGGCATCGAACACCTACCCAGTAAACGAAGAATCATGACACTTTAGATGATAAGGCCATATTTACACGAAGAGCTCAAGATGCAGTCCCCAGAAGATAGCTTGGCCAGAATGACCGATAATTCGTCCATGGTTATGGCCGTCTGTGGACAAGTTTCACTTCTTTGTCAAGCGTATCAGCTCAAGCATATGGATACGAACGCTTTCTCCGGGCAGTCGTAGCAGCTGGCTATGGTTGCAAAGCCGGTAGCATGTCACGCATGTGACCTGGTAACGTACTATCTGGGCTCGGTTGTCTGACCGAAGGTCACATGAACAGAAGTTGGTGCGGCCAATCAGAGATTAGCTCGTTGTCATTGGCTGCCGGATCATGTGGCGCATTACTGGGCATCTGGTCAACCGGTCGACCTTGAATTTACAAGTGACTACCTTGACGAGTCGCTGGCTTTACAAACGAAGCATCAATTACAAGCCACCTTCTTCTTTCGGTACGTTGTTACTTAATACCATGCTTCCTCGTGTCTTTATTCTGGGTCAGGGCAAATAACAGGCTGTTGTATAGATCGCTCACAATCATCCAGTGTTTAACACACCTAATCGATTTTGCTAATAAGCATGCATGTTCGATGAATTTGGATATTGAGAAAACAAGCCAGTGTTCTTTGCCTCCGTTATTTTCTTTCATGGTTAGCAGTGAACTCTCTTACACCAAACGTCTAATGGCCAAGTGCTTCGCCCACACTATGTTGTTCTTCCCAGTGGCCTCATTTGTGCAACGCTGGTTTGTAGTTCTACTAGCTAGGTGAAGCGGACTTCAAACATGCGCACGTTGGACCGTTACAACTACAATGTTAATTAGCATTCACGAAGAAACAAATTCGATAGCCTTCTTCACTCCCAGCGTAATTCATAGAGGGGATATCTGCTTAACTATAAGACAGCCTAATGCGGCATTGCTGGTGTGCCATTAGGTAACTCTTTCTTGTGTTTTTAATGTTCACTTTGGTCAGATTTTACTCAGTTACATTATGTGATTTAACGGCTAATAGAGGATGCCGGTAACGGATTCTCTAATCTCTTCGTAATTTTCTACCAGTTATAAGCAAGTTGGATGGTAGATGAATAGACACGTAAATATCCGCTGCTGTGGATGAATATAAGCAATCGCAGTCCATTCATACCGGAGTGTCCCACGCATGGAACGAAAACCGGCCGAAATTGGGTTTTGTTGTCGAATACGGGACCTGTTTTTGTAGCAAATAAGAAATGGATACTAAATAACAAGTAAGAATGGCTTGCAACTAAAGTTGCATATTTCTATTTACATAGATGTTCATTAGTATGTTATTTCAAGTTTTAATTTGATTCCTTTCTTTGACCACTTGGATTCTTATCCCTTTAGTAAAGTTTTTCCTTTATTTTAGCTTTTAGCTTAACCCCATTATGTTTGTCTTCGTAAAGCTTGCACTATCTTTCTGCTACAACGCTGCTTTAAAAAAACGCTAGCCGTAAAACGCTTTCCCGCCATTCCACGTGATGGACACTCCCCCATTCGTTGTATCCAAATGACTTCCAGTTATCCGCTGTTGTCTTGGAAAGCAGTTAGCTACGCCATGCACATGTGGACTTAGCCTTTCACAATATCCGATTTGGTAGTTCCCATGACAGTTCAGCCCTAATATGTGACACAAGTGGTCCCAACACATTCCACCAATTAGTATGTGTGCGCGTGTGCGGCTGAATACCGCAGTACATTCAGCGAACACTGGTCGCTTGCAGCTTTCATTGCATTTATCATTCGCCAGCGTTGACTCCAGGGCCAGACGACACCGGGTGACCACATGTGCTCCTGGAAATTGTTACCAAACTCCATCGCGGTTGTTCACCAGGAGTCATTCACTCATTGTGTTACCTACCACCGTTTCTATTTCTCTACGCTGACCCACATGACATCAGACACCAATAGCGAGCTTTTGCACCTCTGCGCCTTATTCCAATTACAAAGCTTTGCCACTGCCTCACATAGCTGACACAGTTTGTGTGGTGCAGTCCAGCTGCCGCGTACAACCTAATGGTAAATTGAAAATAAGCAATATTTCACTGAATAAATCTAATAAGTTGTCTCAGTTAGGCGTTTGCATATAAGCAGAAATGTGCGTTCGTGAACAGGCGAGAGAAAAACGGTGACTTGAATGGTATATTACTGAGTAATATGAGAGATGACCAATAACCCAGTTGTGGGACAGATTTACTATCTGAAAACGTTGGGTAGATGTGATTGGATTGGTACACCAATGTCACAGCTGCAGTCATCTAGCTGTCACTGTACCCTGAGCGATCGTCATTCGCAGGTCTGAGATTCATGTGCATAAGTTCACGCATTGTGGCACGCTGCTAACATACATGCGCTGCTTAGTGGCGTTGTGCCAGATAGACAGACTGTTCGCCCATAGCATTTCTTTCGCCAGAGTCCGGTAGTGGTATCCCTTCTCTGGTTAATAGTAAAGCTACCTCTGACAATTGAACGAATCATGTTCGCCATAGCTACTGGATCAATCATGGCCCAAGCTAGCACATTTGACAGCCTAATCGATGCACCAGCTTCCACGAGTTAGTATCCATTGATGCAGCTCTTTGTTTCATGCGATAGAAAGCCTACAAAGTTTCGGGTCCTGATCTAACGAGATAGGTGGGTGATGTAAATAACTGGATTCTATGGTTATTAAAAGTGAAAATACCGTTTTCGATCATCAGCGGATATTTGTGATGTACTTTTTCGGACATGTGGAGGACTATCTGATTTGAAAGCTGCTACGATAAATTCTCAATTAATTACATCAAAAACCACTACTCTTGAGTTTGTAATGTGTCTGGACTTGAAATTGGCAGAGATGAACAAACGTTGCTCTCTTTGCCAGTGTCTTTAAAGGTGCCGAAAGGCACATTACCTAACAACTGGAGGTCATGGAAACTGAAGTGGATAGATTCCGCAGCCTTGATTCATTTGCATGGATATCTGAGGCCACTCTATGTGGTAGTGTTCAGGTACGCCATCAGCTGTGAAGCGAGGGAATAGTGGAGGCCTGGAATCTCTCTGATCATGATTCAGAAACGGAATTTGCGGAAATAATCGAGCGACTGAGGTTCGTTCAATTGAAATTATAAGTATACAAGAGTCGCGAGAGCTTTTATCAAACAATCCCGAAAATCAGGGAGATCAATAGCGCGTTTCGATACAACTTCCCATTCAAGGACGAGCGATGCCATCAAGACTTGATTCAGAAGCCACGGTGAATACATTTTCCGAGAAACACTGCATTGGATTAGAGTGTGGCGTAACACGGAATTGTCACAGAAGGCTCGGTGCTATGCCCGAATGTGAAGACTGTGGTGAAAGCCGTCAAGAAAGCAAAGAATCGACTTAGCAAAGGCAAACGGGCGTATTGGGATACTTAATTCATATGAATGGGAAGAAGAAATGCGCCTCCTACCTAGATCAGCAACAGTCCAGTACAGCTTTTATTCAGTCACAGGACAAGTTCGGTACTGCCATAAGCTAAGTTTGTACTATAAACTGAGCTAACTGCGATTGACATTCTGCTAGACCAAAGGCTTGCCAGTAATTGACGAGTATATGGAAACTGCAACACGAGGACTACAAAAAAGAAAGAGGAATGATGTGAAAATAGCAACGAGCGAACAACGGTGATTCCAGGCTGACGTATCGCTTGCTGGCGCCGATGGGCCCAACTCGACCCCGGTTGAGCGCGTCCATAATAGCAAGAGCCAAATTTATTTGGAAGAACACGAATACCTCTCAGACGAATACCACGAGGGAAAAAGCCGGAGGAAATGCGCCACATTGTAAGCGAGTCTAGTTAATGCGAGTCTAATTAATGACCTTTCCGTTCTCTGCAGAATAAATTTTGATCTAGCTCCAGACTTCGTTTTTGATTCTCGGATGGCTATTTTGACAAAGGTGAGTCAATGCTCATAATATGCGCTCGTGGAATACGGTGATCGAGATAAAAACAGGGCTGTATCGTCCTTTACACCCTCAAGGCAAATCAATGATAACAATGATCTATATTAGAGAGGTGGTGCCAACCGTAGCAGCATGATTGATCCATTACCAAAGTGCACGGCTGCTTTGAGGAAAGCGTTTGACGATGTGATTAAGAGCTCTGCTTAGCGCAGAAATGGTGCCAACGCGGCCGAAACTAACCCATAAAATTCAGGCAGTCTCACATGATGTGAATACAGGAATAACCCAAGCAACGAGTGTTCTTTCGATGGCTTTAAATTTCAGACATCAATAACCTTGGTAGCTGCCAAGCTCACTTATTTCATGGACGATAGGAAGGACCGTAAGTGCGGAGAGTTCTCGCTTTTATTGTTTACAACACTGCACTCCAGGACAGGTTCAGCTTTGCTTGGAGTATTTAGGCAGAGGTAGTTGTAGCTGCTTAATGAAGTAGATGAAAATACGAGATCACTGCGAGCGTGTTGTGGTTTGTTGATCAAGGCATCAACCACTCCGTCACAAATCGCACCACCAAATTCCGCTCTCTTTACCTGATAGGCAAAACCAAGGACGAATCCGGTCATGGAGCGCAGCGTTAGGGCCGTGCAACACAAAATGTTTCTACTTCAGATGCGGTCCCATCTGTCGGAATGTCCGGAGTCTGCCTTAAAGTAAATTATGTTTTTAAGAGAAATTGCTTTCCAAAATCCGAACTTCAAACCTCTACACTGGCTACAAATGTACTACCAAATCAGGTCCGACACACTCTTTCAGCAGCCACCCGGGAAAATGAGTGCGCACCTTTCCATCGCCTCTCTCTGCTCCTCTGTCAGGCCCCGTTAACCAAGCCTCTTATACAGATGCCAAACTGTATACTTGAAATGTTATTTACAAAGTAACTTTAAACTAATTTAGGGAATTGAGGCTCAGAAGCTGCGCTCGTTGCCCAACTGGCTGCAAGCTGGTGGGGGCAGATGTACGCGTGCACTTTAACAATACCGACAGCCAACTCACAAATACAGCATTTGCATACCGGGCATTATTACGGCCCTTTTTATACGAATGCGCTTATGTGTACTTGACACGGATGCTGATATCCAGCATATTGTTACGGTACACAGTGCGGTGACCATAAGCGCGCTAATTCCTCGGTAGTAAGCTTTCGTCTCTCGAGTGCCATCTACGAAGAGTAGCATGGCCAATGTTGACAATCGATCGCCTGATGCACAAAATTTGATATCGCACGATTATATGATCGATGTTAATTAAATCAGTTAGTTTCGTCTATTTAAGAGGAAACTGGAGCAAAAGAAAATATCCATGGCACCCTGTGTCCGTATATTTGTGTTAGAAAAAGAGAAAACCGACCTTTCGCAGCATCGTTCGTCGCTCGCAATCTCGCACTTCATAAGCCTGTGTGTCCACACATCTCTCTCCATCCATTCCCATGAGATTGGAGCACTG